TGCTGCTGTTCCACTGAATAGAATATTGGTGGGAAGGTTCAACCTCTAGTGTCATCCTACCAATATCTGCCTCTGATGTTGTGGGCCAACATAACAAAATAGGAGACATTAATTTTGGAGTAGGTCACGTAGTTTTATGTATTTAACTGTATCTAAGCTACCTATTTATCTATCTATATATATGGATACAAAAAGTAGGGCAGATTTTCCTAAGGTTACACAGACTGTGTGTTCTACTGCAAAGCCAAGAACTGAAACCAGACTTTCTAAAGTATTTATCACAACGCATTCTCTAATTAATGTTATTAGAATTCCAAATGCTACTCTGCTATGTACACCCACAGAACTGCTGGACAAGCTGAAGTTCTTTTTGAAAATTCAACCTTTTGTGAAAAAATAGTTGATGGTTATTGACAAATCGTTGTCGTCTGCATTGTTACTATCCACTGTTAAGGAAAGCAAATATTGTCTGAAGACTAATGAGAATTCCAAAGCAATAAAGTCAAGTGTGAAAAGTGCAATCAATAAGTCATGATGCAACAGTATTCGTTTGTAGTTTTGTTATCATTTAGTTCATGATATTTAGTGATGCTTGAAAAGGAAGTGTTAAGAAATTAGTGTTACAAGAATTAACATTCCAGTTTTATTTTTGATACCGTTATGTTTCTACAGTCATTACAGTATGAACGCTAATTAGAATCTGATTTTGTTTCCCACCAGTTAAGGACTGAAAATAAAAAAAATTATAGAAGAAAAAATATTATGGAAACAAATATCAGTGTTACCCACAAATTAAAACTCTCAATGCCCATGGCTAATTTTACACTGCAGGAGGATGTACTGCAATAAAATCCTGTTCTCCTTTTTTCCTTTTCCTTTTCCTTTTGTTTTTGTTTTCTCTCATGCTTCAAGGTATACTGAATTTATGAAGAAAGTATCTTTTTGAACATATAATAGATCTTAGAGTTCAAGCTAGACCATTTATATCTTACATACAGCTGGGCTATCCACTAGGGGGTGAGGTTTGGATTTACTACAAGTCTTGGAAATAAAGAATCATACTGCCTCATGAAAAAGTCAAGGACTAAATCTCAGCTACTCGTTTCTGCAGAAGAACCAATCTCTTCTAGCCCTTTATCACACATTAATTTTCCCCCATGTTGACTCAACTGGACTGGCAGGCAGATAGATGCTGCTCTTTGTTACTTCACCATGACATGGGGTACCTTGTGTTGGAAGCTGAATGGACAGAGCTTTTCTCACTTTGCCCTACAGGCATCTTGTGCAAGTGACAACTAGTGCTGGCACATCATGCAGCCTTAAGTTTGAAAAAATATTATGTTTGAATATTCTTTACAACTCTGTTTTCTAAAGAAAGCACATAAAATTTTGGCTATGTTAACTACAGTGGATCTTCACTAAGTATCTTCACAAAGGAATATCTTCAAAGAGGCAATTACAATCCAAGGCTGAGACATCTCAAAATCACTCTTAAATGCGTATAGTAAGAGATCCCATGCATTTCATGAGGCAGCTCTACACACCGTTAAAAGCAATAATTACTTTGAAACATTATTTATATCTCCAATAATGTGTCTGTTATATAAATCCACTAAATAAATGGACTGTGTAGCTAAACATTCATATTCAACATATTATAGAGGCAATAAAGAATCTCATTGTAGAATATCACCCATCCAGATGAAGAAGATACTCTAATTCGTGCAAATATTTTCTTGCAAGTACTTTCAATGGAATTAGGTGAGAATTAGCTCTGACACAGTGAAGAGAATGGCAAATCTGTCCTATATCATGGTTATTGGTATCAAAATACCCTATTTGCAGAGTTACAGAAATGACTCTCAGTCACGTAAGTGAGATCTCTTGACCTATTGCAAATAAGACACCATACTGGCCATGCCTTTAACTTTTGGCAACTTATTAATTTACTTTTATTTGGAAGCAACCAAATAAGAAACTTCATTCTGATTGAATACAGCATAATATGGCCCCAACAAACACAATGCTGGGAAATAATACACAAAATTTTATATCAGTTCCCAGACAAAGTCTAAAAATACAAGGAATCCTATCATATGAACCAGAAAGTGCTGCTCTTTCACTTAAGGGATAGTTGGGTAATTATTCAAAACTGGACTGTCAAGTTAAAAAATAATACAGAGTATCTCAGGATAATGAGAAAGACCTCAGGGCCATTAGCAGTGGCTCATAGTACATCAGTGGCCAAGACTCCCCAAGAAATACAGAGAATATTTAAATGAAACTAGCAGAGAATTAGTTTGAACTTGTATATTTGAACAGCTCAGCACTTATAGTATCCATTTCTTATAGTATCCATTTCTTCCTGGAGAGAAAGCTGTCTATCATGTAAGGCTGTGAAATCAGTGGAGCTTTAGCGACTGAAATCCCTAAGGCAGAAATTTAAACAACAACAACAACAACAACAACAAAAGAAAATTGAGTCACCTTTAAATCTATAGAGTTTATACTAAAAATCTGACACTAGCAGGGTTTCAAGCTGTAGTTAGACACCTAGGTGTCTTCCCTTTCCTGATTATCTCCATATCCTAAGACCATTCAAGAAGAAACTAAGTCTAACTTGTATCTTCTCTGACATTAGCTTTGACAAGAATAATTATAGGTTTGGAATCAAGGCCTTTCACGACTTAGGAGGAGATGACTTTTACTTTTTAAACTAAGTCCTGTTTATGAGACTTTTATTTATATGTGCTCATTACTTTATGTTTGTTTTTTAACTTCTACCAGGAATAACTCAAAAGATGATGGTCATAAATCCCTGGGAAAACAGCTGTCTAGCCTGCAATTTATAAGCTAAAGCATGGCTAATAAGTCAGCACTTGTCATGGCTTAGAAATATAGCTTGCTTCAATATTCTTATGAGCTTCTCCTAGGCGCAGAAGTTTCCAAACATAAGACCAGGGCTAGGTCTGATGTGCCCAACATATTCTTACAACTCTTCCTCACCTTAATGACACCTCGTTGGCTGACTGCTGCCTCTTACACTGTCAAGCAAAGCTCCATTTCCCAAGTATTTGGACAATTAGACCAGACTACGGTTTACAGCACTTTAAGCAAGAATGCTGATTAAGACTTTGCAAATCAAATATTAAAAGACTGATTCAATATTTTACAACCTTTTTACTCAGACTCTGAACTGAAGTTTACTTCACCTGCTAGCCAGAGATACGCTGAAGGTTAATTGATGTAGGAAGCGTAAATAGCAGCTAATGCTACTGGCCCAAAGTATGCAAGGCATTTAAGACTGTTCCTCACCTCAAGTGTGCAGTCACTGACACGCTCATTTGTCTCACTAGGTTAGCGTCACTAGGGCTCTAGATACGTGATCAAATTACCACAGTGAAAGTGGTTTAAGCTTATGTGTTTTTCCCTGTATTGTATATTTGCACGTCTCTGATGACACCAAGTAATCCTTTAAATTGTGCTAATTTGATCATGTATCCGAGTACCTAGTGCAATAAATTGGGATAGGTGGCTAAGAAAAGCGGAGATGATGCCTTCAGAAGACAAATAGCTTCCATGGAGAAAAGAGACATCCAGCAGCTCATTCTACTGGGGCTGGAGTATAAATCTCTGCCCTTTCTCCTTCTACAAAATCAAAGGTCTGAAACTTATAAACCTAAGCTGACAAATTGCTTTTGTGGATTTTGATTTCTTTTAAAGGGAAAGAATTAGCAAAACTCTTAAAAAGCAGCTGTTAGTGATTTTTTGATTACCTGCCTGCACTTGCACCACTTAAAGCCCATCTAGATCTTAAAGAGAAGAAAAATTCAGAAGATCATCACCTTGCAGGTGTTTGGGGCTCAAACTTACCACCTTACAACCTCACAAGCGGTCCAAATATTTCACTTGAGAAAAGTACTCCGAGTTTTTAACCTTAGCTCCTTTTCAAGAGACATTCGGTATGGGTTTGCACATACCAAAGTATAATTTAAGTAATGAGCAGGAAGAGTTATTGGAGTAATCATTTTTAATAGAGATTCCTTGTCTTTAATACAGAGCTACACAACAGAACTTAATAGCTTGTGGCAAGTAAATAATTTACCCACGGATTGGGTCTGAATACAAATGTATACATAAAATATCACAGACTTAATGAAGCCTTTGGGGTGGCTTTTTGGAAATCAATTTAATTGATTTTGGTGATAGGCCTGCATTTATATTTTCGTAAGCTACATTTTACTTTACTGTCACATGTGACACAGTCATGATTTTTTTGGGGGGGAGGAAGGGGGGGCGGGCAGGGCAAACTCCACAAACGAAATTAGAAACTGAGTGCACAGAGAGTAATTTTTAAAGTGTCTAGGGTAAGACACTCGGAAATAACACTCCACCGTGACCCAACAACGTGCCTCATTTAGAAAGCACTTATCTGAAAAGGTCAACCTTTCAAGAATGCTCATGACAATTCACGTTTTTTTTTGTAGCATTTGAGCCCGATGAAGCTGGTAATGATGAGTTTTACCCTTATGCTGTACGCTTTGGGTTGCTCAGTGTCAGTCAAGAGGTTTGCCTGCACTTGGTTTGGGCTCTTATTGGAGGGAGGAAGAAGGCAATGGCTGAAGAAGCCCAGCGACGTGTCTAACACACAATTGAGGCCAAGAGGACAGCGGTCTGACGTAAACACAGGCACTTTTAAAGGAGAGGGACGACGGTTGCCTAATGTGCCTCGAGACTGGGAGCACCAGCTTATGTGATGGACCTTGAAAGCTGTTTTTGCCTACAAAAGACACCCGCAGTTCGTCCTCGCCTTTCTAAAGCACCGCTTTTCGTCGTCATTAATTCATCAAAGCTATGCATTAAAGAAAAGCCATGGGACAGACGCCAGAGCTGGGCCAGCAGGCCCGAGGAGAGCAGCGGGGAGGTCTATGCGGCTGCTATCCTGAGCCCGCCTCCCTCCGTGCCCTCGCGCCCCGCAGGGCCAACTCGGCCCACCTTACCTTTGGGGTGCCAGGGGTCCGTGAACTCGTACTTCCCCACGCCGATTGTCCGCAGCATCTGCACCCCGTTCGTGTTGTCCGGCCCCGCCGCTGCGTTGGGGGGCATTGGGGCGGCCACCTGCCCATTGGTGGCGGGTGCGTTGCTGGGCAAAGCGGCGGAGGGCAGAGCTGGAGGCGGCGGCGGCAGCATGGGGCAGGCCAGGTGGCCGTTTCCCACCACCCCGGGGCTCGGGTGGGCTACCGGCCCCACGCCGCTCATGGAGGACATGCTGAGGGGCTGGCTGTTGGTGTACAAGGGCTGGCTCTGGAGGTTGACCACCATGTTGCTGAGGGGCTGGGAGGGCTGCGGCTGGAGCTGGTAGTGGGCCGGCATCAGTGGGAGCTGGGGAGTGACGTGCGGAGGGAGGGAAGGCGTGACGCCGATGACGGGGGCCTGGACGTTCGCGGCCGGGCTGAAGGTGGGCGGCTGCGTCATCCCGTAGGAGTGTGTGATGAGGGCGGGCTGGCTGCCGGCTGCCACCGTGGTGACCCAGGGAGCTGCACCTGTGGCACGAAGGAAGGTGGGCAATGGCGGTGGGCTGGCACCGGGGGACAGGTACAAAACCACCCCGGGCCTCCCGCTGTACCACCGCGTTTGCACAAGTCACCACCGAGCCACGCTCTTATCCTTCACAGTATCTAAAGTGGCTCAATACCTGGAGCTATTCCAACCCAGTAAGTGCATAAAATTGCTACAGTGATGTGAGTGCAATTGTTAAAATACTCATCAGGTGACATGCAGCGTGTTTACGGTTTTATGTGTTTTGCGCTTTATGCAGCTTAAGCACATGCTTCCAAGAAAATTAACCTCTTTCCCCACCGTGCTTTCGTGGCTCCCTGACAAACACTCTGTGTGTATAATAATGGTGCTCCAGCCACTACAAAGAGATTGTAATTAGGCGTCTGGCAAAGTAGCACAATGTATGATATATGTCTGGAAGCTGGAAATCATTTCAGGTAGTTCTGGACATAAAAGAGGTCTTAAAGTATTACAGAGTGCCTTTTCCTCCAGTGAAGGCAGAGAAGGAGGGGGAAAAAAAACACTTTAATGAACTTGCAGGCATCTTAATACGTTTATATTAGTCTCAGCATAGAAGAAACTTGAGGGGTCTTTACAATGAGAGAAAAACCCTGCTGAAGAATACAGAAAGGGCTCACAATGAAGTCTAATTTACAGAGGTAAATGGAGATAGTGCATTGAATTTGCTTTGAATGATTTTCCCTTGTAGAATTACAAATAAGATTACAAACATACCTGGGTTTTCATTCTCCCTCATCTGTTTAGATGGTGGCTCATCAGTGTCCCAAGGTGTAGACTGATTGATGGGTGTCTGTCCCCACCTAACGCTAGTTGCAAGTCCTTGAGGCTGATTTTCAGTCTTGGAAATGCAAGGTGTCTACCAAAGAGAGAAAGAAAATAGAGAATAAAAATGGTAAGAATATTTGGAATAATTACCATTCTGAATATCTACTAGCTTGTTTGTTTGTTACAGTCCAAGAGGATATTTTTAAGTCTATAAATATCATTTTACTCTAGGCTTACATGGCATGTCTGTATGGATAAAAGAATGTATTTGTCAAAATTATTTCTGGAAATTCAACTGAGCCACCATTAAAAAAAAAAAATTACAAAAACTACCATTTTTAGAAGTAAGGGTTTCTTTGGCCTTGAAAATAAATAAAAAAGATTTATGCTAATATCCATTCAGACAGCCATAGCTAACACAAAATGGGACAATCTTCTGTTTGCTCAGTCTCTTTCAAAAATGGTGAGTTTTGCTTAGCAGAAGGCAGGAAAAGAGCGACTTGTTTACAACTGTAGGACAAATTACTGTAGAACAGTAAAGAGAAGTCTTAGTATTTACTGTCTGTCAACCCCTAAAATTGAATGTCAATAAAAAAAAAAAAAAAAAGCAGCATAACAGCCATTGGCTGCTAAAGTGGCTGTGCTGGCAGTTCTTCAGAGATGTTAAAATAACTGTAAAGTAGGGGAAGGACTGGGGCTGACTAATCATCAAGGGAGATGTGATCTGAAAGAGATTTGTAGATAAAGAAACGATCACGTGGATTGAAATGCTCAGCCAGAACTCCTGTGGTTTCAGGAGTTCTTCTCAAACAATCATGCCTTTGCTGAGAAAAAGTCTGTAGAAAACGAGGGGGCTCTAACAGGTCTCATTTATTTAACTTGGCAGTGTATTTCATTGCCAGAAGATTAAAAGTTTTTTTGTTTGTTTTTACTGGTGTCGGAACTTCTAAACCAAGAAAGCGGAACCAGCTGCCTATTCCTGAATGAGTATTGAGGCCATGAAGCCATAAAGAATAGGAGACTAGTCTGAGTGATCGCTTGTTTGCCTTACATCTGGGAAGTAATTTAGCTCTGAGACGGAGCTACAGAGGCTCCATAAACACCCTGGGTCATGCTATACCAATGAAATCTCTGTCAACACCACTGACTTTTTTCTCCCCATCATCAGTACCTCAATCACTCCATGAAAAAAATTCATTAACAGACCCATTTCTGCCCTCTGCAAAATACTACAACGCCTTTCCCAAGTTCATCTGTCATTCCTCGCTCCTTTAAATCCCAGCTCCTCCCTTCTGCCCCCGCTCCAACTCTCTCTCCTTCATCCAGGTGCCTCCATCACCTTTTATCACTCATTCCTGTTGCCACCTGAGATTTGTTCTCCCTGGGCGATGGCAGTCAGGAGGCCTGGATGCTGATCTTGACGGCAGACAGAGGCTTTGCTATGCTGCTGTCTTTGCTGCCAAAGGCCATGATAGAAATATATCCCCATAGAAATGCTGTATTTTGTTAAATGCAGATGGTCGTGGGAAATGTGGTTCTTAATATCTTTTTTCCTAAGGAATCCTGAAATGAGAATTTTATTATTGTGCCCAAATGAATACTTCTTCTTTCTTTTCTTTTGTAAGATGCATCCATTTTCCATCTTTTTCTTTTTTAACATCTCCATTTTTTTTTTTCCTACTCCATTGGTGCCAATGATGATGATATCCAGGTTTTAGATTCACGTTTCCTTCTGCCCCCAGCCTTTTTCTATTCTATTCTTAACTTTTCAAGCCTAGAACTTCTGCAGTTGAAGTAAAAATGACAATCAGCAAAGGCAAAAACAGAGAAGCAAGAGCTTTAAGATTCATGGTGTTGTATTCAGTGGCAACGAAAGGGCAGGAGGGGAAGAAATAAATCTCAATTTGAAATGCTTTCTGTTTATAAATTGTCCCTAGAAAAAGCTCAATCTGAATATCTTTAGTTTTTGCATAGTACAAAGTCTTTGACAGAGGAGGAAATAATACTGCTGGTGCTCTTCATGCTTTACCAGTACAGTTGGCAGCATCGCTGTGGATGCAGCTGAACTGTTTAACGGGGGCTAAAGCGCTCTGCAATAGAACAAAGAAAAAAAGAAAAAACACCACCTCCATTCTCTGCCAAACCACTGTTATTTGTCTAAAGAAAAGCTTTGAAACAGTAAGTGCAATATTGAGAAATGGACATTTTTATGAACCAACGAAGGGCAGGGGAATTCAGAACTCCAACCATGCCCCATGTATGCCAGATTCCACATGCAGTATTTATGTGCTGCGCTTCTTTGTTACAGGAACTGGGCCTTATAAGTGGGTCTGTCATACATTCTTGGTATTGTAAGGTGTGCAGAATCTTGTGTAACTTCTGTTACAAACTCATACTGCTTTAAAACACTGTCAGTATCAAATAAGACCTTAAATAATCCAGAATCGTTTATGGATATTTTCACTAAACATGCTTACAAATCCTGCTTTTTAGAGGCCCCTTGGACTTACAACCACAAACACAGCACATAGTTTTTAAACTGTACTCCTGAACTGGTTTGTATTGGCTCAAAAAGCGTTAGGCATCAGTTGGTAAGAAATCACAACGCACATTAACAAAGAACAGTTTAGAGAATAACAAAGGTAGAAATAGAAGCACAGCTTACCACATTTCTTTCTTTCATATACATACATATCTGGTCTCTGATCTAATTTCTTCATTATTTTTCTTAATACATAAAAGGTTACTTTACAAGTGCTACATCTCTCTGATCCAATTGCAGCAATTACTAATTTGCATATTTGGAAAGAGAAACAATTTCCAGCATCATCAAACAGAGGAACTTTATGTCCATGCGCTCAGACACATGACAGCACTCTATTTGATGCTTTTAATGTACAACACAAATGACCAAAAAATGGCCTGTATTATGCCAGTCGTGCTGGGGGAAGAGATGTGTTCCATTAGTGATCTGCAGACTTCACAGAAACTAATTGTACTATGTTACACTTTTATCTTTAGCTTTCATGTCAGATGCTTGTTTGAATTAAACAAGAAACACATGAAAAAAAAAAAAAAAAAAAGAAATGCATTACAAAATCTACTGGGCATACATTTTAAAATACTGCCAAATGTCTATTTACATGAATAGACAAGAAGGTTTCTGAAAGGTCTGGCGAAGCCTGGCTAGTCAATGGCAGCACTATTTCGTAGCCTGAACTTCAAGGTGGACTACAAAGATTACTAAATGAATTATCAGCATTTCTGTGCAGCCCTAACATATTCCATCTGTGCTCTTTGTCACGAGTAAAGTACCCTGAATCCAAATTTGAGGATTTCTTTCACTCTTTTGTTTGAAATGACCATTAAGAACAAACACAAATTTTCAGTGAAAGCCTGTATTTCACCTCATGCCTGCCACTTTGAACTGCAGCAGTAACAATGACACATTTCTACAGCAGAGTTTTGAAGAACTGAGCTAGCTTACGTTTAAAGTTTTTCAACACTTTTCCACTTGACATTCAACTAAAACAGCAATTAGAAGTAGAATTTCTTGTGGTCGTGCTCTGTTCTTCCAATTCTATCATAAAACCATAGAACAGTTTGTGTTGGAAGGGACCTTTAAGCTCAGGTAGTTCCAACCCCTGCTGTAGGCAGGGACACCTCCCTCCAGCCCAGGTTGCTCACAGCCCCATCCAGCCTAGCCTGGAATGCTTCCATGGAGGGGCATCCACAGCCTCTCTGGGCAAGATGTTCAGTGTCTCACCATCCTCACATTAAGAATTTCTCCCTAATATCCACTCTAATCTACCCATTTCCCCTCATCCTGTCACTACCTGTCCTTATAAAAAGCCCCTCTCCTGCTTTCCTGTAGGCTCTCTTGGTACAGGTGACTTTAAAAAGCACAATTTTCTTGCTTCGTTTTCTAAAATTCACATTTTGACCTCATTCCTTTATCTTGCCCCACTTTAAGGCAACTTTTTTTGTCACCACACAGCTCTCCCTAAGTAAGATCCTCTCTGCTGACATCCCAGACAAGAGTTCTCCTTGAGATCTGCCATTAACGTTGTACAAGGTGACTAATGAAGGGGACACACATACAGCCAAATGCAACCAATTGGCTGAACAAATGTAAATAAAAATTTCATGCTCTTATGAAAGCAGATTTTTCCTATCCACTTGAAAACATAATTAATTTACCTGAGGTCAGCCCCTTTAAGTTACTAATCAACCACTAAGCATTACAGTAGCATTTCAAAATAATTCAAAAGACTCTTCTCTACTGAAAAGGACATCCTGCATTAAAATCGTTGTGATGCTGTTCTGCATGGAGTAAAACATCCCACGTTTAAAAATGACAAACAGTACAGAACGCTGAATTGGTGCACAAATTTTCCAAGTGTACTGAAACCCTCATCAGAAGGATTTCATCTGAGTATTTATTATTCTCCACAAATCAGCCAATTCAGACTTCTGCAGTCAACATAAATACAAAAGCTGATGAGTAGCTTAGAGCCAAACCCAGTAAATACAGCAACACTTATGATCTGTTGTTCCAGCCATGTTCTACATCTTCCATTTGAGAGATTACGGCACAGAAGGTAAATGACTGCAACTCAGGCAATAATTGAAAAGTTTTATGATGGATAATAAGTCTTTCACCACACATCTTCTGTTCCCGTCCAACAGAGATGAATTACTACCATGATCCCCATGAAGTTGAGCTTGGTATGAAGGGACATTAGGAGAGTCCCAGACAGGATATTCTTCCGTGACATTTGGCAAGGACAGTGTGATTATTGTCATCTAGAGATGAAGAAGCCTTCAGGGCTGAGTTGAATTAGCCCAGAGAGGTGCAATCCAGAGATCTGCATTTCCCAAAGCTTGGGGAGCCCCAGCACACCATATGCACTCTGTTATCTGCTAGGCAGATTCACCGCATGCAATGGCTCCACAGACTTGTTGGTGAGTTTCAAAGGAAGGAAGCATGTGGTGCAAAGCCCTGCTCTCCTGATGGGGTGTTTGCCATAGTGCAGAACTCATCCTTCTGCTCACCTCTGGCTTAAACTTTACAGAGGCAATGTTACATCCTTCGAAGACATACAAGAACAATATGAAGCTAGGATTAGCTGGACTCTCTGAAACAAAACTGGAATTCCATATATCAAGCTTTATGCATAACAAACAACAACAAAAAAGCCACCTTGGCAGTAGCAGTCTCCCAGTTTCAAGGATATTAACTGCAGTACAGATGTGCAGGCAAAACGGAGCAAGGTGGAACAATTTCAGAGTAACTTGAGACTAACAAAGACAAGTTGCCAGGTTGCTGAAATTTTTTTTTTAGCTCTAACAGTCATAAACTATGGCCCATAGGCAACAGTAATTGGTGTACATCTGGTCCACTGAACCTTATTAAATTAAAACATTAAAAGCGTTCAGATTCACAGGGCTTTACACAACATCCACAAGAAAGTTCACAAGTTCACAGCAATCAGCTGGTGCTAAAGATTGGGAATTTGTGATCCAGTCTATTCTGTATCAGTCTACATGGTTAACATTAGTTGGTCAGTAGGCATAGTCACAGCTACATCTGCCAGTGAGTCCAAATCTTTACAGAAGCTGTCTCCTTTGATGAAGTAAGACCTAAACTTTTACTGAGACCTTTACGTCAATGGAAATGTAAAACCTACCGCGCTCCTACCAGCGTTGCAGAGTGAATCAGCTGAATTTAAAAACCAACCCAACAACAACCAAAAGGCTGATTAAGTCCTCCCCAGTCTCAACGACACAAAACACTTCCTGGGAGGTCTTTATAAACACATCTGAGCAATTTCCCCAAAGGCTTGTAAAACTCCTGACATATATCCTGTTACAGCTCAGAGTGCTAAGACCTATTCAAGCAGTTTCATGAGCAAAAAAGAACTAATCTGGATAGAGGGATCTTATTTATGGTTCCCAGCAACCAAAATTATTTTACTAAGGCCTTCATTTAAAGTGATGGATAAGAAGTAGCGATTCTCTGTTCCAATTATCCAAAAGAGATTGGGAATGGCAGCTTAATACTAAGATAATGTATCCAATATGCAACACACTCTATTTTCTCTCCCCACTGAAAATAAAAAGACTAACACACACACACACATGCGTAGTAGCAAACACTCCCTCCCACAGATTCAGGTTTTATAGCCTGTCATGGACAAAAGCAACTTCAATTTAATGAGGGAATTCCTTTTAAAGTTGTTAGCTATGCCTCACTCTAACAAGTAATGACTGGTGACCTGGTTGGGTTTTAAACCTGAACATGTCTGGTGCTCTAAAAAGCTCAGTGGCTTCTGCACCACAGTGTTTATGGTCTCATTTAGTAGTTTGTATTACTAAACTCTGTATGAAACAGGTACTCTCTATGTGCATGAGGCACACATGTACAAGTTAAACCACAATGGGGTAGATCTCTGACTGGGGTATATTCCTATACTGCACTGGGAAGGATCACAGGCGTAGTTTTGAGTCCAGCCCATGGCCAAAGTAGCTGTTAAGGATATACGCAGCAATATCCACCCAATACAAGTCACGGGGCTGGGCGACAGAAAGAAAACTGTTGTGTTAAGAGAGGGATGTACTGTAATAGATAGAAAACCTAAGGGAAATGGACAGACCGGTAAGCAAGAGAAACCGAACGAGCTGTCCTGCAGTAAAACCTTATTCAAGAACTTGCTCATGGGTGGAGAGGAGAACTCATCTACCTTACAGTTCCCATTACCAGGCAATTCTACCATGACACAGCTTTGTTTTTCTCTTTTGAAAGCTAATGTGGGAGCGGTGAGAAGGAGGATAATAAAGTTAACTCATAGAAAAAATGTTGTTACCCTGCAGAGAAGACAAAAGAAATCTTAGTTTCCTTTCGAGCTGGAAGCATCATTCAGTATTGCCATCCTAACCAGCATCCAGCGAAGACCAAATGGGCAGTGCGAGCTATGGAACAGCCTCCAGGCAAGACACATCGCTTAGCAGCAGGGTGCTGGCTACATCAATTCCCTTCTTCAGAGGATTTAAACACAACCTCAACCTTGAGATTAATGACAAGTGCTTGAAGAAACATCCAAGTGCAGTCAGGTCCACGTCTCACACAGGCAGAACTCTGATCCCAGCTCTGAGTAGCGGGGCTTCTCACTGCAGTTTGCGAGCTGCTGAGGCAAGACGTACTGGCACATCCAGCATCTTCACCCTCCCCTCCCCCACACATCAACCACATAATTCCTGGACTAAGCATTTTTGCCATTTCATTCATGTTATGCTATGGTTACCTTCCTAAATAGGGCTGATGGCCAAATTCCAAAGCTCTAACAATGCAATGAAAGATAACTCCATGCCAGGTATGGGTCTGCTGCTGCTGTCTTGGTAATCCTCTTGCACGTGGGTTTGGGGAGGCAAGAGGATGGATAAGATTATCGAAAAGGAGGGAAAAAATGGGATAGAAGAAAGCTGTGAACTGACCATAATGCTATCTTTTTGGTGGCTGCAGTGCCCAGGACAACCATCGCTCTCCCACCAGTTAGGTGCCGGGAATGAATTTAAAGAAAAAGTGCTTCATAAATGGCAGTTGGCATTCTGTCTTGGCAAATCTCACCAGCAGAAGGTCAGGTACTCACCCAGCTGCCTTCGTTTCTCAGCGAGAACATCAGAGACCGGAGCTGAGGTATGGAACCGAGGTCCCGGCTGCGACACTTGCTGCTCCAGGACACCAAGGACATCAGCGCACGACACTGGGTTCGAGCACAGAAGCCCCACTTTAGCCTGAGCTGAACCTCCTCTGCTAACACGGTCGGCATGCAGATCAACCCCAAATCAGTGCGAAACTACAAACGTAAAAGCATCTCACAACGGAGAAAAAATGCGTGACATCAGGAACAATTCAGCAGCACGTACTACAGAGAACATGCACTACGCAACGCAAGGTCCTGCAGGGATCCTATGGCAGAGGCAGATAAATCCAGTTCATCATAAGTGCTTTTTGTCAGAGGGCAAAAGGAAACATGGGTAATAATGGAATAAGTGCTTGTCAGACCAGAATCCCAAGGGCGTACAAAGGATGTAACCCTTGTGTGCTAGCAAAGCTACTTGAGAATGACCTAATGGCAGATCGCTTGAAAACTAAACATTTATCTTGCATGCAAATGCTGGCCATTGATAGGGTCAGAAGTCACACTCCTTGTGGTGTTTTTGTCCCAAATTTCCCATGCATTTCATTCTGTTATCTAAACAGGACTCTCAGTTTCTTTCTGGATCGGGGCCTAAAGCATTAGGAATAAAAAAAGGAATATTAAAAAAAAAAAACAAAAGCGATGTCACTTTGGGCTCCAATCCCTTCATTAAGATACTTCTATACAAGTCCCCTTTTGCTGCATTGGATGCTGACATTTTACATTCAAGTCCTGTGAATTCAGTGCTTCAATTGTAGTACACACTCCTTGGCAGGAAAGTGCATGTTCTCTGCCTACACAGCAGGCACATTAAGAAAAAACAAAACAAAACAAAAAAAGAAAACCCAGATAAGCCTGTGACTGTTGAACAGTGCTGCACGATATTACTGATTTATTAACTTGGCTTGATCAATAAGGCTATCATCAAGGGCACATTTAGTTTGCACATAAATTTCACTTTCTAACAAGCACTTCTGCGTGCTCACTTTGGTTTCCATAATCTGATCCAGGTCTCAGGAAGCCTTCTTTAAGGGAGAACAGAGAATTCTTTTTCTAAAAAAAGGATCAAAGTACACTCAGTTGTCTCTCAAACAAAAGGACAGTCAGTACTGTAGGAACAGCATGCTTACCTTTCCCAGCAAAAAGAAAAATAAGCTTATAGGTCCAAATTTATCGCTGCCATAAGTTCATCAACATCAATTGAGCTATTAAATGTGGCTGAATCTGGCTCATAGCAATTTAAAAACCTCAACTTTCTTTGAGAGTCTTCCATCAGTAAGATGCTAATTTAATGCATAATTTAAAATCCGCTGTCCTTTAACATTTTTACAGCATTTGTAAATAATTTAGAAAGAACTAAAAATCCTTTTAGATTCATAAAGCTGCCCCCCTTTTTCTGCTACAAAACAACAAAGGCTTTCCAATCGAGAATATATTTATTCTCTAAATCTAAAAGTAAAAGCTGCAAGAAAGATGAGGAGAAACTGATTTACAAGATAAAACAATTAGCTCTGGGATATGTACATTAAGACTAATAAATTTCCCATCATGTTTTAAGGGAGTGGAGGAGGAATCTCAGATCTATTAGGTTTTATTCAAATTCTACTCAAACGTTCGATTAAAAGCATCTTATGAAGGTAAGTGATGCAGTCACTAAAATAAAGAAGTGACAAAGGGGATTAGAGAGCTGCATCTCTCAAAGACGATATACACTTGAATGGTCACACTTGAATAACCCATCCCTTCCCTACACACAAGATAACATCTACAATCTGCCCATTCCTGTAATTGCTTGGGTCTCGTTAAAAATATATTTCACAGTAAAAACGCTAACATAATATACTACATTTCCTTTTAATCCAACATCACATATCTCAATGGTTCTTATTAAAATCTTTCGTTCTGTGCAGACAGATGAAAATGCATTTTAAGATTCAAACAAGTCTGTGCAAAAACAGCTCAAGCCCATCCATCTCCCAGTTGGTTCCTCAAGGAAGCTAAACATCCAGCAAGCTGCTCTGACCAGACGTGACTGGCAGGTCCTGGTTGGGGATAGGAGGCCTCGAGGTGCAGCCCTGCATACATTCAGCCTCAGCTCCACTACCACAAGAAGTTCAGTGCAAGATTAGGCAGCGGTCATATAATTTGATTTACAACAGAGCGCTAACATATGTTTCTTTTCTGGAAACACAGCCATCATTTTCCTCAATTTTTGTGGTTTGTAGGTTTGTTTCAAAGCATTTGTGCTCATTTACTTCCCACATCTCCATGCTACTAGAAGGAAGCTGTCCAGTTCTCCTTTTTCCCTTCAGCAGAACTGATTCGTAGACTAGCATGAATGCTTCAGCTGCCTCAGCCATCATCCTTCTAAAAGATTAATGGCAAACACATCACATACCAGGCTATAAATCTAGCAAATGGCTATTAGACATACTTTGCTGTCCACAGCCACACAATTTAAAGTAAAACAGATAATAGTATAGCTGTGGCTGCCATTACAAGAGACCTGCCACTTATTTTTTCCAGGCACTTCACTCTTATTTTTGGGGCGTGAATCAGATGCTCCATCAATATCACTGTGCTCATAGCAACTTGTGATGCTAAACAGTCCTTTGTCGATAAATATAAATGGATAAGCTTAGGTCCTACTTCAACTTTCTCTAACAATTAATAGTTTTACATTCCTGTATTATTTTCTCCTTGAAGATGAATTTTTTTTTCTAGGTGTCTGTTTTTGCTATTGGACTCAATATGAAGAGGAAATCCAGCAGTGGGGTTGGGCAATGGCCCTATGCTTCTCAAAATCCTCTGTATAATGTCTCTTCCAAAAAGTTTACATTTGTAAAAGCATAGAAACTCCCACTCTCTTTCCTCCCAGGAAGTTAACACATAATAAACCTCCTCTAAAAATAATCTCCCATTTCTCACAGAACTTCAGGGTAGCAGGGAGGAAGTGAAGGGTTATTGTGAGCCCTAAATAACACAGGTTGGTTCTGTAAGCCGTGCAAGGGACAGGCAAGCTAAAATTAAATGACCTTCAGTAGGGATACCTCACCTATAAGTGCAAGCCACAATCTGATCTTCCTAATTCTCCTCCTCCACTGTTGCGGAAGCTGCTCTTTCTGCTGGGATGGCTGCAGGGCAGGCAGTGCCCTTGAGACCCCTCAGGATGATGTGCTGGGGAGACCTGCCCAGGGTCTTTGCAGATAATACCCCTAAGAGGCAGCATGGCCTCTGCTGAACTCGCTGCTGCTTTCAGGAGAGGTAAAGGGAGTTTCAGCTGATGTTTCGTGCCAACTACCGCCTCCAGGAGTCAGACAGAGCCTTGATTTGCTATAACAAAGCTTCACTTAGAACCCAAAGTTATAAATACCTAACAGTGCTGATCAAAATGGACAACTTTGGTTGCAAGCATCAATCAGAACGAGAGAGGAGCCAAAGCAGGACCAAAAAGCTCCTATTTAAAAAAAAAAGAAAGAAAAAAGAAAGAAAAAAAAGGAATTTCCTTTCCATTTCCATTCCACAACAAATAAAAATCTCCTTTCCTACCCATAGACTGCGTCACATTAACTTCAGGTCCGGGCTTCAGGCAAGCACAGATTGTGCACCAAACTATCTGTAGCTTATTAGAACAAAACAGAACCTTGATTTTTATTTTTGTTTTATATTTGCTGGTGAGTCTGCATCAAATCCAAATGTGGATCACATGCTGAACTCATTCATACCGACTCATTGAAAAGGACCTTACACCCAACACCTACCCAACACCACTGCCTCAGATAGGGTCACAAATTAAGACCCTTTGAGTGGAGACACAATTACATAAATAGATGCATACATATGTTTATATGCTTCCTTCTAAAAAGAAGTTTCCTTCTTAAGGGAGTCCAAATTCCATGTACCAAAGGAGAAAAACGAGAGATAAAATCCAGCAAACTAGCTGAGGACCTGCTTTTCCAGTGCTGCATGTGACTAATTACGTGATTTATTTTCAATGACTGGCTCAATCAATCCCGATCAAATTAACAAAGACAATGATCAGAAATACCAGTGAAAACACAATACAAATGATTTGGTTCCAGGGGATCCAATCAAATGAAACAGGATTAAATTAACCAGTGATTGGATTAAGCAGAAGTTGCTGTATGAAGTCAGAAACGTATCCATACTGTGGGCCATTTGCTGTAAGGTTGACATTTCCAACCCTTCACAGAGCTCTCAACAGAGTTTAAATAAAGCTGTTTTTCCTAAACATCGCAAAGGTATTGCGGTAATTATTATTATTCATGTTATTATTATTATTATTATTATTATTATTATTATTTACAACATCATGGTATCTCGGTCTCTGAAACAGTAGATGTTCTCTAGAGAAAGAATTCACCCATATACACACTCACTGAGCCAGCAGACTGGAGGAGTCTGCAGTCTGTGCATGACACTGGGATCAAAAGGTGACAAAATATCAGGGTACAATAAAGAAGAGAGAAAAACCCATTGAATTCTTCAATGTTAGTAAAGCACAAAGACGAAAAAGCTTCTGTTCAGCAAGGAGCAGTAATGAGGATTGCCAATGATGCAGCTGGAAATGTAGTTCTTACCTGACAAGTAAAAGTAAATGCAAGTATCTCAAAAAAAGTACTTCCATTTGCTAAGAACCAAAGCCTGAATCAGCCAACAAGGTCACAGAGCACTGCACACAGACCTGAAAATGCCTTCAGATCACCCTGGTCCAGCTGGACCCATTAGCAGACAGCTGCAGAGGGACTTTGTGTCCAAAATCAGGCAAGAGAAAGGCTGGGGACATCAGGAGCCAGCTTATTAGGAAGCAAACAGGAAACCGTAAATGCTGGGAGTCAGACTAAAACCAAATTAAATTCTTGCCTGTGTTTTTGTTTTTCACTAAGAGAATCCTTTAAAAGATAAACTGTTGGGATGTGGAGAGGTATCCTGTAAGGACTCTCAGTAAAGCCATTTCAGGATGCTAGCAGTCGTGCTGGTGGGCGCTGTGGTGGGAGGAGATGTGACTTGCCACACTCGTGGCAATGCCCTTCACTCCTCAG